ATACTTGCTGGGATATTTTCAGAAAATGATAAACATGTTTGAAGATTATCACCCTTACCTTCTTCTGGTTGGGCGTATTCATCAATTTGCACATCATCCTCATAGACTTCCAACCCAAGTCGTCTATCAATTTCGTCTTCATTATAATTCGTGATAGTGCGGGTACGCCTAGAGTATCGTTTTTCCATTATGAAGTCGTTGGTGTTGAGGAATGTGTTCTTCTTATGCCTTGACGATGTTGATGTTGAAACATTCTTTGAAGAATGCCATTCTGGATCGTCAGTGTCGTTTGTAGACGAAGTATCTTTATTAGTCTGAGGAGAGGAAGCAAAGACACTATCTTCGTCGTTCGAATTAGAAGCGGAGTTATCCCAACCTATTAAAGAAATGTTTAGAAAGTGGTAAGGTAAGAAAGAAAGGTTAGTAAATTGTTCAAGGATAAAAAGTTTGTCCAACAAAGTTAGATGAAGGATGTAAAGACTTGAGACTAAGATTTATCATTGTGACGTCGAAAAATCTTACCGTGGGATTTTAAGATTTTTGATTTTTTCTTTGGAAGGATTTTCTTACCGACCATCATGGCCTTCTTACGTTTTCTTGAGGTAATAGAAGAATCGAGTTCATCACCATCAGTGTCTTCTTCTGAAGTTGAAGGTAACTAAGTAGTTTTATAATGAAGAATAAACATTAGTATTACAAACCGACAATCGTTATCATTTACGCAAGTATCCATCATACCTTGTAACTGACAGCACGAGGAGTATTAGCCATGCGTCGAGATCTACGCAAGCCATATAATTCAGGGTCAAGTTCCATAAATTCTGAACCTAAAAGGTGGAGGAGGTATAATGGAATATAAATTAGCAAAGAACTCGACTATATTTGTCAAATGTTCTAAGAGATTTCTAAATTTCTAAGGCTCTAACTAAGTGAAAGGTATAGCAAAATATAGTATATGAAAACAAGAGTAGTTGCGCGCTTTAGAGGAAAAGAAGGTAAGCGCACGTGTAAAAAGTTTTGAAGGGTTAAAATGAGGATTTGTAGAAGCAAATAATAGTAGAAAACACGACAAAATCAAAATTCTAAAAAGGTTGTGTCACATATAAATTATTAATGTTGAAGATGGTGAAGATGATCGAAATAGAAAAGAAGGGTAGGAGTTGAAAAGGGAAGAAATATAAAGTATTATAACTAAGGAGGTAGACGAAATATTGAACAAAAAACCATAAAAATTAAGGAAATTTCAATAAGAAGTTATAAAATATTACTTTGAAACAATATAATAGGGAAAGGTAAAGGCAAAAGAAGGTTCAAATTTAAGTGGAATGATAAAGGATAAAAAGAGGGATGAAAAGGCAGTTGAAAAAGGTGTGGTCGGGATAAAGCTGGCCTATGTTTATTAAGGCTCAGCTTAGTAAGAACAGTGAATTACTTTGACGCGGAATAATATTTTATAATACAAACAGGTAGAAAATTTTTTTTTGATCGTTCAAATATCGACAAATATTTTATGAAGTGAAGCCAATGGTCCTTAGAGTAGTAAAGCTTTAGTTAAGTTGTTTCTATGGCTTACTTAATACATACCTGCCATCTTTGAGGAGATTCAGAAGATAAAGAGTATATATAAAGAACTTTTTTGATTAAGTTGCGAGAGTTATCAATTGCTTTTGTAGTATAAGAGGGGAATTTGAGACGGTTGTGTGGATGATAACTGTCACGGTAAAAGAAATCTAAGGAAATTTTCATGAGTATTCAGATTAGCAACCTATTTATCAGGATCCGAATTTCTGATCTTTTATCGGGTATATTTTTTTTCATTAGATTTTCAAAAACTATAAAGAAAAAAGGTTCGCAACGAGAAATTATTTCATAATTCAAATCAAATTCGGGATATAATCACATAATTATCCAAATTTGTCATAAAACAAAATGAATTTTTATCGGTTCAAAGATCCGCAGTTCCTAATTACTTCGACGCGATAAATACCCCCCTTTATAAATTTTTTAAATTTGGGATAAGTAATCAATATCGGAAACTCACGAGTGATAGGGTTAGTAACATGAGCCTGTGACGTATAACCAGTATAACATGATCACGTGGCATCAATCGATTGATTTTTGCCGGTTTTTCGGCAGGTTCAATAATTATCGGAAAATATTCGACAATGTTATTGGTTTCACTTAAAAAAGTAAGTAGGAAATTTTTTTGGATAAATATCCGCATTTTCTCAAAAATTTTTGTTCGTTCTTATCAAGTTTATTTTTTTAGATACTAACAACACCTGCATCAAATTACTATTGACTGAGTTTGTTTATTTTTTTTTTTTTTGGATTAGTTAGAACTTAAAGTTATCGTTAGTTTGGAATATTTTCAGATTATAGTATTTTTCCCTTGAATAGTTGTTACACTTTCAACTGTTCAATATACAATCCGTGAATAGATATTGCTCGTACTCTTTTACTTCGAAAGGTTACTGTTTCTTGTAACCGAGATAATACCGACCATGTCAGGAGTTTCAAAAAATCCAGATCCTATACACCAAAATAATTTCAAGCATTTAGCAGGTCTTAATAAGCTTACTTACAATAGAGTTAAAGAATTGAAAATCCGGTTTTCAAATGGCCCTAATAAGCACCTTTCTCGTGGTCAGTATCGTTTACGTCCAGATTGCATACCGCCATTCGACGAGTGGGCTTCATTTACAGAACATCCCCCATCCCCACAACCATATTGGCCTAATCAACAGCAACATCAGCGAGGGAATTCACAGCAGTCGATAAATCACCAACAAGGGACCAACCAACAGGCTGGACATCATCAGCGAGGACCGGTATTTAATTCTCAGCAAAAATCCCTTCAGCAATCACAGCAAAAAAGTACGCAACAACAGCCTGTCCCTAATCCTAACAATGCCACAACAAATGGCCAAACTTCCGCGCCAGAGAAGAAAGTCGACTTATCTCTTGCTAACATGCTTTTAAGCCTTGGAATTAATAATAAGAAGTTTTTACACGATAAAGAACTAAAGGCGCTTGAAGAGCAAGGTCGTCTATCAAAAGGGGAAGAGCAAGGTCGGCCACCAAAGAAAAATGGGGACACGAACTCTACTGCGGCAAGGTAATAATCTGTTCCAAATAATTCAAAATTCATGATTAATCAAAATCTTTCCTCATGATTGATCTTTGATCGTTACAATATCATCATTATAGGAGGACTCATCCGCCATCGAGTCAACGACAACGAAGACACGAAGAAGTTCAAAAGGCTCCTCAAGTAACAACTACAGGCGTTGCTACAAAAACAACAGGAAAACAACCTGCAACAAAAAAACTTACTCCGGAGGGCGTCGTACTCCCTTCTTCAGTTTCGGGTTGCGCTTTATCATTGACTAAATGTCAAAATTTGCTCGAAGTAGGTATTTCTTTTAGTTTTTAGTAAAATGTAAATCGAAATAAATGTGTTAAAATATGTAAATTGTTTTAAAATAGACGTACGAAAACATCAGAAAAGGAAGAAAAAAGCTCACCCTCCCCAAGGAGGATGATGTTAAAAAGCTCACCCATAAGAGGAATAAAGACAAAGAAGTCGCTATGAAACGTCCACAAAAGCGCCCTGCTCTTAAGGGAAGAGGTAAAGATAAAGTCGCGGATTTGGACGAGAATGTCGAGACGAGTAGTGTAAAGGAGCCAGCACGACCAGAGCAATTCATTGTTACTTTGAAACGCGGTTCAAAACGTAGCCGTGATGATGATGACGCCGCGTCTTCAAAACCAATGACGCCAAAGAAAAGGAAGATAGAGGGTAATGTGACCGTTCAAACCGGAGTGGATCAATATGTACAAGCCACAGTGGAGACGAACAATCAAGAGGTTCAAACTGATCCTCTCCCCCCTCCTCCTCCTCCTCCTCCTCAAGTTATTTCGGTCGGAGTGCAAACAGATAATGGTTTTTCTTCTATAAATGCTTCCTCATCCAACACGATCTCGACCTCGGCAGATAATGATAAAATAATGAGAATGGCTAGCGAAGCTCACAAACGTTACGAAGATCTATTTAAAAAAGCAACGAACGTAAAACGTCGTGGAGATCAGAATCATTCAAACTTTGTGAGCGACTATGCTGATGCAGCGTGTTATTACGCCGAAGCATTCTACGAACAATTAATCGCTGCATCGCTAGGACATGATGAGAATGTTGTAAATCCGGCCGCGTTTATGAACCATGTCATTAATAAATTCGATAAGGACAAGAAGATCCAAGCAGCTTTCTGTGGATTAAAGGCCCTGATAATAAGAAGATTTTTTATTTTTGAGGATAAAAGGGTTCGTCCCTTGTTAAAAGATACCATTTTACGTTATAATGAACTAATCGAGACGACCGGAAGATTATCAGAGCAAACTTTGACATATAAACGCGACCATTATAACAAGTAAATTTTTTTTTTTTTGTTTTTTGTTTTTAGGTTATTTTTTTTCATTTCGATATTTCCTCAATACTTGTAATAAAAAATTATGTATATTATTTATTAGAACTCTTAGTGAATCGAATAAAGTAGAAGAAATGATAAGTGAATTCACAAAGTATTGGGATAGAGCAACAAAAACGTATAAGCAACTTGGATTTGGTTTAGATTCCGATATTAAAGTTGCTGTTGACTACGTTAGAAGTTTGTTAAAAGAATGGAGCAAAGATAACGACTCTAAAAGCAGAGAGGCAAAGAAAAGCACATCACAAACAAAATCAAGATCAACTAGATATTAAATCATACAAATCGTCGTAGATATTGTGATGTATATCTGCAAAAAATTGATGAAAAGAACAATAATCTTAATTATTGTATAACTGTTATTCATTTTATTATTATTTTATTATTGCTGTTGTGATTGGCATTATTTTAATGTTTGTATAATTTATTTTTATTCTTATTATTATTTTTGGTGTTTTGGTGAAACACTTTACATTTCCCTTTATGTAAGTAACAAAACAAAAAAAAAGTTAACCAACATTAAGGGGCAAATTTAATTGTAATTAACATTATGATGAGCATTGAAACAAATTTATTTGTTTATGTAAATATTTTAATTTTAGAGATTTACCGTCAATAACATTGAGCACTCAGGGAAGTGTTTGAATATACCGTATTTATTATAGAAAAAAATCCTATAATATAATTGGTTTATTTTTGGCGGTATCAAAATAATTTGTAAATAGTTTTTTTCTTATAATTAAAAAAAAAAAAATTTTTTTGGCATGAAACAGGCCAGTTCATTCAGAGATTCATGATGATTTTCAATAATCTTGATGATTTTGTCTAATGTCAAGTTCTTATTGAATTTTGGGTTTATGTAAATCTTGAATATCTGTTTTGTAGGTTATGAATTAAATCCTTTTTTATTTCTAACCTAAATTTGTTAAATAGAGCAAAATAATACTAAACCAACAAATATAAATATGTGACGAATAAAAACGCTTATCCATCTAAGGTTATCAACATTGTCAATTGACTAATCCGATTTGGTCAAGCCAATGTTTGTGTAGCAACAAATATCAGATCTTTTATATAACAAATAAATAATAAATGGATTAGTATCTTAATTTAAAAGTATAACAAATATTTTAAGAGATAGAAAATTATCTTTAAATAAAAAAGGTAAAAATTGTTTTAAATCAAAATTTAATATAATAATCCTAAATAATTTTTTTTAATATATTACTTCAATACTTTCAAATGTTCTTAATATAAATAGAATTATTTTACCCAAAATAATAAAGCCAAATATGACTTGAACTAAATTATAATGTTAGATTATAATGTATCTAATAAGACATAATATAGTTACTAGATTATATTGTGACCAGTAATAAGCATTAGAATTTTCCAATAATTTTTATTAGAATTGGAAGTATTATTAGAATTGATAGAATTGAAAGTTTAAAAGTATTATTAATTTTCACTTAATATAAAATTTATATATTTTTATAGGTATTAAAAACTTCCAATAACTTTTTATTAGAATTGAAAATATTGTTAGAATTAAAAGAATTAGAAGTCAAAAAGTGCTTTCAATTTCTAATATATATTACTGATTGTAATTATTTAGATTATAATATAACCATTTATTAGATTATAGTATAATAAAATAATATTTATTCTTAGTTTTAATATTATATCTATATTTATTTTTATTTATTATTAAATTATATTGTAGTTAGTTAAATATAATATATTCAAATAGATTATATAATCATTGATTATAATATATCTATTTAAATATATTGTATTTAATAAACTATATTATTATTAGATTAATGTTGAAATATATAATAAAATTCATAATATAATTTTGATTATCTAGCTTAATTTAATTAATAATAATTTATAACTTAAAAATGTATTATTTGAAAAAATAATAAATTTTTCTGTTAATTTATAATATCATCATAGAATTCTTTATCTCAAATTAACTATATTTAACTTTCTATTTTAATTGTAATTAAGATATTAGAATCTATTTAACTCTTAACTTTACCAAATTTATATATTTTACTTAATAAATTTGTTAAGTATGAAAACTTGAAAGATAAGATTACAAATAAATTTAATTAATGAATTCAAATGATAAACTCAATTACAAATTTTATTAAGATTATATCAGATTATATAAAAACAAAAAAATATAAATTTTAATTAATTTTTTATATAAGATTATCTAAATCTAATACTTTATTTAATATAAATCTTACATTTTACTAAGCTAATAAAAGGTAGTTAAATAACATATATTTTATGATTATATGACTATAATTTTACTATAATACTGATCAGAATTAAATTAAGTATGTATAGATTTTTATTATATAAATCTGTTATTATAAAAAATAATTATTTTAATATATAAATATATTAATATAAATGACTAATATATTAAATAAAATATTAAATATATTAAATAAGATCTTTTATTTTAGTTATTAATTGTTACAAGTCATAAACAATAATAAATTTATATATATATATAAATATTTTATATTATAATATTGATATTTTATTATACAATAGGTTTTTTTTATTGTGAGTATACTTAAAAAAGTAAAAATTATCATTTTAGATAAAATTATAAAAGTATTATTAATAGATAATTTTCATTATATTTTTAATATTATGATATTCAGGTATTTTTGAAAAAGTCTTTAGAAAAATATGTTTATGTAAAGAAAAAATTGCAAAATAATATAATAATACTATTTGAATTAAATTTACTCATATTAAATTTATTTTAAAAATAATAAAGGTTAGTATTTAAGAACTTCTTTACCAAAGATCAAAATGCATTTAATTTACTTATAAAAAGTTTATAACATATTTGCCTTTTAGAATAAAAAAAGAAAAATATTTGTTGAGACTTACTTTATAATGATATTATTAAATTATTTTAAAATAAAAAAGTTAAATAGAAAAATGTAACATATAATACTTTTAAAAAGTTTATTAAATATTTATTTACAGTATTGTAATATATAGATCTATATTATACAAAATTTAAAGAATATTTACTTTTATTTGAAGTTTTGTTTGATAAATTAAATCAATATCAACAAGATTAATATCACAATTTTTTTTATTTTACTGAAAAATATAATCTTATATATAATAAACTTAAATAACTAGTTTCTTCATTAGAATTATCAGCAATATAACCATAAACTACTAGTGAATAATATAAAAATATTATTGAAAAAGTTTTTTTAAAAAAAAATACATTTGAGTAATATATTAGCATATCAACTAACTAATAATTTAAAAGTATATATAATTGATTTCTGTCAAAAGATTATCTTATAAAATATATATTTATATAGAAATATATATAGAATATTATGTTTTTGATATTTGTAATTAAAGTATAATATATACATAATTATTACATATATAAAATAAGAAAAATAAAAGAATTACAGATATATAAAATATGTATATTATATATATTATAGTATACATAATATACATATATTGTATATATTATTTGATATATAAAAATTACATATATTATATAGGAAGTTTGCTAGAAAAATGCGACTCTTAAAAATTTTTTAACTAAAATTAAAACCTTATTATATTTTAATCTAATAACATTAAAAATTAAAATATAAAAAAAAATAAAATTTTATTAAAAATTTCTAGAGTCCTATTTTCCTAATAAACCTTTTATTATTTTATTTAATATACATAAATTACAATTTTTTTCTAATAAAAATCACTAATCTAAAGACTAATTCTATACTTAGCAGTCCCATCAAAATTGCTAATTTTGAATATTATTTCACTTTTTACAAATTAATTATAAAATTTTTATATCATTTTTTTGATAGAAGTTATTATTATAAATAAGTAATTATACTTCTCTAGAGTTAGTAATCTTTTAAATTATAAGGACTGGTTAAGAATCACTTAACATTCCTACTATTAATAATACTAAGCAAAATTTAAATATTTAGTTATTTGACAAAACTAAAATTATTTAAACTTTAATAATTAAAAAGTCTAATACTAAAACTTTATTTTTATAGATTTTTCATGGATTTTAACTCATAATTTTTCATATTTTATTTTACTATAAATTTTAGAAATTTAGAATTTTTGTAAATAAAATACTATTTATTATATTTTATTTACTATATGAGAAGTTTATTGGAAAAATTAGACTCTAAGAATTTTTTAACAAATTTTGATTTTTATTATATTTTAGTTTTGATATTATTAAATTAAATATAATAAGATCTTAATTTTAGTCAAAAAAGTTCTTAGAACTTAGTTTTTTTAGCAAATTTTTTATATAAATAATTATTATCTATATTATTAATTAGTATATTTTTTGATTATATATTTAATTAAAATAAATAAATAAAAATTTATAATTTATATATTATAAATCAATTTAGATTTAGTTATTTATTATTTGTTAAAAGGTTTAAACTTTAGTCAAAGATTTAGTCAAATACAAAATTTGATGAAAGTTTAGTTATAATAAAAATAATTTAGGTAAATATCACTAAATATTATAATAAATTATATAGAGAGTGATTACGAGTATTTAAATAATAAGTATTTTTTGTTTATTCACTTTGTTTACATATTTACATATATTTCTAATTTAAACATTTGTTTAGGATATAAATGGATGTTGATTACAATAATAACAAATAATTTTCTTTCGAACAAAAATGGTTAAAATAAAAGAATTAAATGCTGAACAATGTGAAGCAATTTTTTATAGCTACAAATAAAGTAATTCATATCAAAAATTACTGATATCATTCAATATAGTAAACTAACGTTTCATGATATGATAAAATATTTTAAAAAAACTGGTTCTGCAATACTGAAAAAATATTAACCTGAAGTCACTTTTTAATTCAAATATACAATCTTCACTCAAAAAAATTATTACACAAAATTTAAAACATCGTCGTTTTATCACATAAAAATTTAAGAATTATAGACTAAATAAAAAGTTTTAACTGTTACAATTTGTCAGATTCTTAAAAAAGTCAGCTTACGTTTATATGTTATCCGCTCTAAACTATTAATTTCTGAAAATAATAAAGAAAAAAGATTAGCTTGGGTATTGAAATGAGAAGATTAGACAATTGCAAAATAGAAGAAAGTTGTATGGTCTGATGAATCAACATTTTAGCCAATTTTTATAAAATCGTAGCTTACGTATATGACATATACTAGAAAAAGAATTTGATCTTTCTTG